GGATGGATGGATGGATGGATGGATGGATGGATGGATGGATGGATGGATGGATGGATGGATGGATGGATGGATGGATGGATGGATGGATGGATGGGACCTGTCCAGGGTGTGTCCTGCCTTTCACACTACTTCAGCTGGGATAGGCTCCAGACAACCCAAAACCCTCCACACGATATGTGGATATAGAAAACAGATGGATGAATATGGGCAGGTGCACAATGGTTTGTTCAACGTCTGTTATCATTTCAGTATAAAATTGTGGAACATCCTGCAAATACTGCTTCTGATGTTGATTTCTAACTGATTTAGGCTGATACATTCAAACATGTAGCTTTGTTCCTGTGACCAGTTCAGTTGACTGGTTAAAAAGTAGCTATGTTTTCAGTCGACCAAGATTTTTGTTTCTTGGTTACAGTCCTGCATAGCTTTTCTAATAAACCACAACTTTAGGAATGTATTAGTACTTGTTTGCACAAGCAACTTCTGCATTTAATCGTCCAGTTGTGAGGGGGTTTGTTTCTTTGTCCTGTCGGTGTTTTGTTTGGCTGTTCACTCGGATCAATGTGCTGAACCGTCCTGCTCTTACAGAGACTCCTGGGAAAGTGTGCATGCCTGGGCGAGTGGCAGCTAAGTTTAAAGCCACACTCTACATTAGCCCCGTGAGAGCGGGAGAGACAGAGTCTGAGTGTGTGTGTGCGTTTGGCACAACCTGTGTGTTTTCGAGGCGCTGTTTGATCTGCATAGCCTCTCAACCCGACTCTCCAGCTTCAAGAAAGCTGTCTCACATCCACCTCAACGCATTTTAAAAGGGGTCCGTCTTTGACAAGTGCAGCACACTAACACAGTCTGAAAACAGAGCCACATTAGTGATTAGCATGCAGGCGGGGGCGATCAGAGAGAAATGTCTAACATGCGCGAGGGAATTACAGCCCTAAAACACGTGTCATTATGCATGTCCCTGATGTGACTGACGTGAATGGAGGGAGGATGAAAGCGGAGCGATTTCCATGAGTGACAGAAGATTTAATTAGCTTGTTCTGGGTGTTTGGCAGAAAGGCAGAGAGGGGAGCAGAGGAAGTACTGAAGTGCCATGATGTTGGTGGCGAAGATCATCATTACTGTGTTGACCTTTGTTTGTCCAGGGTTTGTTGAACATGTGTGTTCCTCACGAACGCCCAGCATACGTAAACAGCGCATTTACACATGTTCACTCGCTGTGGGTTACAGATCAGCTCCTTGAGAACTCTTGAGTTAAGTGCCTGGCCCAAGGGCACCTTGACCAAAGCAATTAAGCAGGGGAAGAACATATGCAGAAATAGAGCAACACCCTCGATTTTATTGCAAATCATTCTGAGAAGCATTAATGGTTTAATTTGATTTAATTTATGATTCAAATGTCACCATTATTCAGCACACTGATCATTTCTCAGACCTCTGGCGGTACATTGTCTGCTCACACGGGCTTCCTAGTGACGGCTGCTGTAGCCTTGAGGAAGCAAGGTGCTGAAATTTAAGACATGCAAACAGAGAAAATGTCAAGAAAAACATCTTCATCAGTTTCACGAAATATTAAAACGAAATGGTTCAAACACAGAAAACACAAGAGCCAAAAGTGGCTCTAAGAAGTCGCTCCTACAGCCAGCAAACATACATATAATCACCTTTTATGTCGTCTTAGAGAAACCGTTGACGATGTACTACGGGTGTAAAGCGTACACAAAATTTGTAGCTCTCTTCTTTTGGAGTCACGGTGTGGTTCATTGTTACAGTAGAGAAAACAAAAGCAATGCATAAATTAGCATGTTTGTCATGTATTTTTAAAAACGAAAACATTCGAAAGTGTTTCATTGGCCACAATTCTTACTGTAGTATATGCATAATTAACTTCAATTAAAAATGAAAGCCTGCAGTGCAATTCCAGCTTCAGAACCGCATAAAGTAATGCTGCTTTTTTTTTTTTTTTCTCCTTAGGAGGGAGCCATCTTGTTTGAATAAACTTTTGGAATTGTCATTGGACAAAAGTGATCAGTGACCACATTCTGGTCCTCTGGGTGGCCGGAGCACTTTGTACAACAAAAACTGGACAGTGTATCCCCAGCTGCCAAGGCTGAGCCGACGATCATGCTAAAACCAACAGACGAATACTGACATGAACTGATTTCTAACAGTCTTTGGATCACAGCGTGGACAGAACAGTTCAGGATGAACACACGTCCTGTTACACATACTCAGCAACATCATGTATTCAAAGCCGCATTTCTGGCTACCATGCAAATCTAAGCTCAATATTCTCTCTCCTTTGAGCTGTGGTTTTCTATTCATCAACTCCTGGGGGAAATATCTGGTAGTTTAAAGTGTAACTTCACCCCCAGCTCTGAATCTAACTCCACCCACTGCATAATTTTGAAAAATGATAAAATGTAGGCAAAAGCAGGAATATATGGAGAGAGGGGGTGGATGTGTGAGGCAGGAGTTGCTGAGTGGATTCCTCAGGCCAGAGAGAGAGATGGAGAGAAACCGGCACACCTATACCACTGAGGGCTCGGCTGAGGTGGAGGACTTTTCCTCTCCAGAATCCCATGAAGTGGACATTAGTGCGACCGAGGACCGTGGTGTTACTGAACTGTATTTGTTCAAGCCGACGACTCAAAACCAGTGTTCCAGATGTGCTGGTCTTGCTAGAGCGACTAGGTGTCCTGCATTCAGTTGCGTCTCCATCATTCAAATCTCATGGCAGCTACCACTATACACAATATCCTTATGCTGTTTAGCTACCGAGCCATGTTAGATACTAACAAAGCCTGTTGAAGGGCACATCATCTGTGAACGCAGGGCTCCAAGCAGATCTGGCAGGAAGAGCACATCTGTACGTACACCACAGCTCTTGGAGCCGAGAAAATAAAAGCATAAGAGAGGATGGGGACGGTCTTGGACTGGTAGTGTAATGTTAGTTTGAAGGACAACCGTCTGAACACTGCACTAAACTTGGAGTCTTGATTAGATTGTATTTGAAATGAGCTTGTTTCCTCCCTACAGATGGGGACTGAGGAAACTGGTCTGTCCATCTCTGATTGGATGACATTAATATTATTTATTATATATAAAGATTATGACACAGACAAGACGCAGACACTTGTCTTTATGTTAGCATCGGCCTTACAAGCTTCAAAATAATTTAAAACAGCAGATGCTCGATGAGCCATTTTCAACCCATGAAATGCTGAAGTATAAACTTATTTTTATTATTTACCTTTATTTAACCAGGATTGAGATTAGAAAT